TAAGTTCACTCACCAGCCACTTTCATAGGAACACCTGTACACCTGCTCATTCGTTCAATGATCCAGTCACGCCAGTCACGTGCCATCAGGGCAATGAATAAATTCATGTAGATACAGGTCAAGAGATCTCTGTGATCTCAGTGCCTTTGACCGTGGCATGTTTGTTGGTGCCAGATGGGCTGGTTTGAGTATTTCAGAAACTGCTGATCTCTGGGGATTTTCACACACAACAGTCTCTAGAGTTTACACAGAATGGTGTGAAAAACAAAGTGAGTGAGTAGTAGTTCTATAGGCGGAAATGCTATGTTGATGAAAGAGGACAGTGGAGAATGACCAGACTGGTTTGAATTGACGGGAAGGCTAAGGCAACTCAAATAACCACTCTTTACAACAGTGGTGAGCAGAAGAGCATCTCAGAATGCACAACTTTGAGGCGGATGGGCTTCAGCAGCAGAACACCACATCGGGTTCCACCTCTGTCAACCGTGAACAGGAATCTGAGGCTACAGTGGGCACAGCGTCACCAAAACTGGACAATTGAAGATAGGAAAAACACCACCTGGTCTTAAACCAGCCCATCTGGCACCAACAACCGTACCACAGTCAAAGTCACTGAGATCTTCCCCATTCTGATGTTTGATGTGAACATGATCTGAAGCTCTTGACCTGTATCTGCATCATGTTATGCATCGCATTGCTGCCATATGATTGGCTGACTGTAATAGGATCACCTGTACCCCAGCTCATTCATGTAATTATCCAGTGTCCAGTGAGTGTAGTGTTAATGTGATGAGAGAGGTTTTTTTTTTTTTTTTTTTTTACACTACCAGTTTAACTTATCCATCTTATAAGAGATTGTAATATTTATCATTTTATTAATGTTATTTTTATTCTGAACATTTCTCAGATGTGTATGTATAGACAAATAAATACATCCATGCTTTATTTATCCATGTGGGGGCAGTCGTGGCCTAATGGTCAGAGAGTCTGACTGGATAACCCGATGGTGAACCCGAAGGTCATGGGTTTGATTCTCAGGTCCGGCAGGGATTGTAGGTGGGGGGAGTGAATGACCAGCGCTCTCTGCCACCCTCAGTACCATGACTGAGGTGAGACCCTTGAGCAAGGCACCGATCCCCCAACCGCTCCCCGGGCGCCGCAGCTAAAATGGCTGCCCACTGCTCTGGGTGTGTGTTCACGGGTGTGTGTGTGTTCACTACTGTGTGTGTGCACTTGGATGGGTTAAATGCAGAACACAAATTCCAAGTATGGGTCACCGTACTTGGCCACAAGTCACTTCACTTAAACTTAACTTAAAACTTAAACTTATTTGATCTGAAGAAAATGAACACAAAACAAAGAACGACACAGTGACAAAGTAACGATTATAATTCTGGCAATCAATTGCAGGAAGTCAGGGTCAGCTGCATTCTAATAAATGTTTCTATTTTTTTGACATGCTGAAATTTGCTGAAACACCTAACTGGGTTTGTCTTTGGTTCTGCAGGCTCTGTTGGTGCTACCAATATGAACGAACACAGCTCCCGATCTCACGCCATCTTCACTATCACCATCGAGTGCAGTGAGAAGGGCATTGATGGAAACCAGCATGTGCGCATGGGCAAACTGCACCTGGTGGACCTTGCGGTGAGGAGAACAAGCCTAAAAACAAGTATAACATTAATGGTTTTCTTCTTTTATTAAACTGACACAATGTGATGGATGTTTCTTGCGTGTCAGGGATCTGAGAGGCAGGGTAAGACAGGAGCCACTGGGCAGCGTCTTAAAGAGGCCACAAAGATCAACTTGTCCCTGTCCACTCTGGGGAATGTGATCTCCGCTTTGGTGGATGGGAAGAGCACACACGTGCCCTATAGGAATTCCAAACTCACGCGCCTGCTGCAGGACTCTCTCGGAGGAAACTCCAAAACCATGATGGTACATGCACACACAATTTAGGCTCTCAGTGATCTTTCACACTTAATTAAATTAATAGATTTAGATTTCTTTTTTTTCTGTTTCCATTTTGGAAGCACAGACTGCATAACTACAAGGCAAAACTAATAAAATAGAAATCTGCCATATTTATAGGTTAACTTCAATTGTTGCTTCCTTTTTTTAGTGCGCAAACATTGGACCAGCAGACTACAACTATGATGAGACCATCAGCACCCTGCGCTACGCTAACCGTGCAAAGAACATCAAGAATAAAGCGAGAATCAATGAAGACCCCAAAGACGCACTCTTGCGCCAGTTTCAGAAGGAGATCGAAGAGCTCAAGAAAAAGTTGGAAGAAGGTACACCACAATAACCAGCAGGCTTATACCATTTCATCAGAATTATAAATGAGTAGAGAATAAAGGTGCCATTTCTAATGTTTAAAATGATTCTAGACCTGTTCTAATCATAGTATTACATAGATATTTGTTTTGCAACAGTGCCAGTTTCTTCATTTTCAGCCTAATTTGTACAGAGCAGCGGCTCTCACCCTTGAGGCATACTTGATCTTCATCTGAAATGGCATTTTATGCACTATATTGTATACACTATGATTTGTACTCTATATACTACACACTATGGTGCCACAACAGGCTCGGGAGGAGCAAAAGGAGCAATTTTAAAACCCAAAATGTCCATTTTAAATTTTACTACTCAATAAATCCATGGCATAGTGGTAGGCTATGACTGCTTAGTGCATAATGTATAAAATGGGCTTAATACATTATGCAGGTATTAACAGTGCATTACATCTCGCTGCGATTCCCCAATGTGAGCACACTTTTTCCAATAAACATATGCAATAAGTGTATCATTTGAGGCTCCAGACTACTACTCTTTTAATATCTTTCAAATAAAAAAGATAGGCAAATATAAGTAAATATAATAAGGACCAGTAGTCAGATTTTTTTACAGTATGAAAACTAAAAACTGGCTCTAACTGGGTGTTATTAAAACGTGAGGCTTGACCGTCTGTATTATTTCCAGGAGAAGAGATCTCGGGGTCAGAGGGCAGCGGCTCTGAAGAGATGGACGAAGGAGAGGACGAGGCTGCCGACGGTGGAGAGAGACGCAGGAAACGACGAGGTTAGTATCTCCGTCTGTCACGCGTTTAGTGTTAGCTGGATTCCAATAAGAGAGTGCGTTAATGATATGATGCAATTTGTGGTTGATCAAGTTGATTCTCACGATGATGAAATGCACCTACACTCTTACTCATATACCAGTAAGTGCATGGGGGATTTCAGAACGCGCTCCATTACCACTGAGCTAATAATGATAAATACATTATAATTAAATGATGAAAAATGTTATTCCAGTATTATTCTGATGCAAGGTTTCTATTTCTTTTCATGATTGATTTTAGTATCCCTTTTATGTCACTACTAAACAAATGTTTAATATTGTGTGCTAGTCTGAATGAAATGCATGAATGGGGCGAGTGAGTCGAGGCTGCACACTCCTCTTTGCTCAAAAACTGCCATTGGAAAAAATTGCCATTTATCAAGACTGATTATCATCAAAGAAATGGTATGACTTTCTGCCAACTGATTATTTAATTAGCTGTTATATAGCTGGTTTCTTTCTGACTTTGGCAGGACACAAATTTTCACTAGAAATATTCTAGTTTCTAGAAATTTCTAATCCAAGAAACATGCCATCCTACTACAGGCATTAATGAATAAACTAATTATGAAATCGGTATTCAGTCTTCCTCATGTCTCTGAATGCAGAGAAATGTACTGTGAAATGTTCAAACTATTTCATTTGGGTGAGTTACAATTAAAAGTGGAAGTGGATGGTAGATGCGGCTTTGATTGTCTTCCTTTTGCCATTGCTGACTGAGTCTGTAAAGCGATAAGAAGCCCAGCAGTTCCTGCTTTGCAGTAAAGGCCTTGTGGTGTTCTTTGATTGCTGTGCTTCTTTGTAAATTAGAGCGAGGCAGATGCAGCACCATGAGCCATGCAACTTGCACATAAATATGCAACTTAATCCACTCTGCTCTATTGTCACTTTTAAATCACATTCTCTTACTTTCTGTAGACCCTACTGATGTGTACTTCTACATCTAATGCTCAGTACAAGTAACATGGGGAACCAGGATATCTATTCAGAACCTTATTTGTATAGTACTTTTAACAAAAGACATTATCATGTGCTATTCATGGTCCTACTGTGTTTTGTAATTTTTTAAAGTGTTGTAATTACAGCTGTCTCTACACATCATGATCCACTGGCATTGTTGTATAGATGGGCATTATTGTTCATAAAGATTTATAAAAGTACTTTTATAAAGGTTTTGTGTTCCCATCAGTAGTGCTTACATAACAAAAGTGAGTCACAAGCGGTGTGGACTGGATGGAAGGTCACTTATGCTTCATAGTTAATGTGAATTCTGTTACAGGCACATTGGCACACACTCCTCCCATATGGCCATTATAAATCCCCCTGTCTTTCACCCTGTGCACTAACTTCAGGGCACTGCCAAAGCACACAGCAAGGGCAAAGAGAGGAGATAAGGAGAACAGGGGCACAGAGAGACAGCATAGGAAGAGTTACAGCAAACCAGAGCAGGTAATGCGGAATGGATGTATTCTAGTCAACAAGACCACAAAGAGTCAGCGCTTACATCACTGCCAGGCATAAACTCTATACCAAGGCAAAGTGATACCCATCAAAAAACTTTCACCCTTGTGGTAACTGAAATGATTGCCACCTGTCATCAATCAGCAGCTGAGTCACACTGGCACCACACACTGACTGTGGCATACAGTGAAGCTCTCTTTTACGTCACAGGTTTAGTGATGGGGTTTTTTAACCCAAAGCCACTTGATTCAAGTTAAACTAGGTGAATTTTAGTTTCAAGTTGTTGTCTGCGTATTTGATTTGGCACAGTTTTTACGCTGGACGCCCTTTCTGATGCAACCCTCCCCAATTTTATCCCAGCTTGGGCCCGGCACTCAGAGCGCATTGTTGCACGCAACCCAAGTGGCTGGGGTTGGAGCCCTGGCTGGGAATCGAACCCAGGCGGCAGCAGTGAGAACGCTGTGGCCTAATCATTAGTCCTCCAGGGACCCTGAATTTTAGCTTTAAGTAAAAGTTAATTATTAAGCAGTGGTCACATTGGCTACACAATTTCTTTCTTTACCCCTTGACGTTTGTGTCCCATGTCTTCTGCAGCTTGTTTTCATGCCAGTATTAAACTTCTCCTCAAGTGCTAGTAATCTTCACTTAAAAAAAGTGTTCAGTTAATGGTCAATGCTAGGACTTGTACCTGCATAGTAGAGGTGTAACGCAATGCACTTATCGGTATTGTATCTGTTTATTGCTCAAATATTCATATCTGCAGGGTTTTTTTTTTTTAAAGAAGAACAAAACCAATACTCTGCCTTTTTTTTGTATCTGTAATCTATCTTAATCATATTCAGTTATACCCTTATTGCCTAGACATAAAATAGGTATCCCTGTAACACCAAGGACTGCCAACTGAAATGAGAATGCTTAACATACTAACAGTTGAATCTTTAAATCTGGGTCAGTTGCAGGCATTATGACAGGATCTGATGAAAAAAAACAATCCTTTCAAATCCTTTTGATCTATCATGTATCTACTCTCTTTCACTCTTCTCTTTTATGTGTGTTCCTGCCTTTCCTGCGGACTCGACGTGTGTTTTTGTTGTGGTCAGGTTTATGTCTCTGATTTAGCATCCTCAGTCTTTTAAAGACCTATTTAATATACAGTTGGGGCCAAAAGTTTGCATACACCTAGGCTAAAGACTTTCAAACCCAATTTTTCACAACTCAACACATTTTTCTTGTTACCATGCATTTCCCATGTTACATCAATTAGGGCATCTACTTTATTTCCATAAGAGGCAATTTCAAAATACTAGCTAAGAGATGTTTTTTTTAGATTAGATTAGATTAGATTCAACTTTATTGTCATTACACATGTATGAATACAGAGTAACGAAATGCAGTTTAGCATCTAATCAGAAGTGCAAAAAGCAGCGAGTGCAGTATGTACAATATAAACAGTAAAGGGAATGTACAGTAGAAACAGTAGTAAATAAACAGAATGTACGGTTAAGACCTGTTATGTACAGACAAGGGCAGTGAGAGATAAGTGGAATTAAATTAAAATAGTGCAAGAATATACAGATGTAATATGTACAATATACAGATGTGGTATACTAATATACAGATGTAGTATGAAAAAAACTACTATAAATATGTGGTATACTAATCTACAGATGTGAAAATATATACAGATATGTATATACAGTTAGATATAGTTATATACAGGGGGGAGGGGGTAGTGAAGTTCAGTTGGGGACAGAGTTCAGAAGGGAGACAGCTGTAGGGAAAAAGCTGTTCCTAAACCTGCTGGTTTTGGTCTTGAGGCTCCTGTAATGCCTCCTGGATGGGAGAAGCTGGAAAAGACTGTGGGCAGGCTGGGAGGAGTCCTTAAGAATGTTGCATGCCCGGCGTAGACAGCGTTGCTTCTGGACCACCTCAATAGCAGGTAGTGGAGTCTTTGTGATGCATTGGGCGGTTTTCACCACCCTCTGCAGTGCCTTACGGTCTGCGGCAGAGCAATTACCATACCAGACTGTGATACAGT